CATGTTTGACGTCATGCTCGCAAAAGTCGGTCGTCACGCTCGCGGTCCCTATATGTTGCAGCACGTTGCCTTACTCACAACCACATTCTTCCCCCTTTCACCATTATATCCCCAGTCATGTTTTTAGGAAATTATAACACGAAGGTGAGGAAATAAGAAAATAAGTATTTACTAAAATACCCTAAAGAACTGAATGCTTATGGGATTCTTTCATTACTTTGAACGAAAATTTTAACAGAGAGACTAAATTAGATAATTTCTAATAATCGAGGGACTAAAATGGGGCAATGCGAAACTCTGTGACTAAATTGAAGATTTATTAATAGTTGGGAAACTATCTTGAACTTCACTCATATCCTATATAAAGCTCTTTGACAATCACAACTTGAGCCTGTGAGGTTGTTGTCTTCCCAAAAAGTGCCAGTTTGCCCTTTAATTTCCCTAGCCTGCTTCGGCAGCTTGGAGTTGTGGAAGCCAAAGATATAGAGGTCGAGGAAGATGGAAAAGTGCACAGAAGATTGAGCATCCTTTTTTTTGCCTGGAAGTCAAAGAAGGCAAGGGGGGACAGGAGAGTCATTCCATCATTTGGAGACGAAGATAGATGATGTCGTTTCCATCGTTCGGTATTGAAGAAGACGAAGGAGACAGGAAGCAGGAAGAGAGAGCATCCGATGTCGCCTAGCGTCGAGCAAGAAGAAGGAAGTCATTTCGTTCTCAGTGGACTCGAAGGGATTTTCGGCTATTAGAATCGCGTGCAGTCACCAAATGGAAGGGGAAGTTTTCTTTAATTGAATAGCTATAAAGGATGAATTATTCTCTATGGACGCCGAACACCGTCCAGAGCCCAATGAAAATGTGTCACATCACCCTTACTCGATACCGCGGCTTGGTGCTTCTCGGTACCGAGTTCGGTATTGCTCGGTACTGGATGACGTGGCTCACATGATTTGCCTATGGACGGTAAGCTGTGTTCGGTGTCCTCAAGGAATAATCTCACGCTATAAAGAGAGGGGAGCTGTGAGGTGAAAGGGAGACAATGAGTGACCAAAAGCGAGGTGAGAATCACAGAGAGAATTGATTGGATAGAATAAGCCTGCCAGCAAACTATCGAGAACCAGGAAGGCACAAGTGTGTTATTCGTGTCGACGAGAAGAGCACCTACAGGCGGCGAATATGTTAGATTTTGTAAGATAATTATTTATTATTTGGGAATTTTTAGTTATTATTTCTAGAAATTAATATTGGTATTAATGAAAAAATGAAAAATTTTATAATTAATTATATAAATTCAAATAGAATTAATTACAAAAAAGGGAATGTTTAGATTTTCAAATTGAAACATTATAATTGATATACTGTGATACTTTACATAATGTTAAAGCTAAGATATTAACTGAAAACTTTAAAACACCACTAACAATTTTGATTTTAAAATATTAATAATAATAATAAATTGAGTGAGAATAATAATGAATTAGATTTCAAAGCTATATTTATTAGAAAAAATTAATATTGTAGATATTTATGTGTTAATATGTATGACACTAACAGAAAACACCCATTTACCAGTGACGAATTTCTCGACGGATAACGATTAAATTTTTCCGACCACTATATTTAAACAGATTTTTCGGTCGGATCCGCGCGTAAGTTTTCCGGACGAATTAAAAATATTTCTAGAAAAAAATTATATTCCTAATTAATAAATTTTACAGCTTATTCTAATTATTATAGAATTTAATAATTTTATTTTAATTAATTAATAATTTCATAAATTTTAATTATTCTATTTTTTAATATAATAAATAATTTTAATTAAGAATTAATATATATAAATTAATAATTTATACTAACTTTAATATTTTACTTTAAAGTATTTTTAATAATATAAAAAGTTTACTAAATTAATAATTAATTTATTATAAAATTAATAAACTTATTTTACTTAATTTTAATTGAATAACTCAATTTAATATTTTATTTATACTTAAACTGAAATATTTAATTTAATTTTATTTTAAAAATAATTAAAAACTAAGTTTTAAATATTATTTTACTTTTTACTTCTTATTTTTCATATATTAAATTTAAAAACAAATTGGCTTATAACACATTTTACTCCTCATTCAAACTAGTTGATGACTTAAAATCCAACGAAACGAGGCTCTAGTTCGCGGTGGACGGCAACGTGGCGAGCAGCGGCTACATTGAGCTCGGGCGGGGCAGGCTTCGGGCAATGCGGCTGGTCAACACAGGCAGACTAGGGAAGCAGCTCCAGGTAGGCGGGCCAGTCACGATGGCGCGGGGGCAGCCGTGGCGTGACCGTTTGCGCGGGCAGCTCATTGCAGTTTCTCATGAAACTCATTCAATTTAAATTTGTTTATTTTTAGTTACCCGGCTAGATGTTTTTGCCAGAAATAGCTGCCAGGAAACATTTTCCGTACGAACTCTAATTCCGCCGAAAAATTTTTCTTGGCTTTTGATTTTTTTTTCAACGAAACTTTTTTTTTGCCGAATTGAGTGTTTTCCGGTCGTGATAATCCCGCCTGAGAAATGATATCGAATTATCCGTCGCGAAAATACCTACCGGTATATAACGTCAATATTCCTGTAGTGATGTATATCTATAGAGCAAGTTTTTATAATTATAATATATTTATGATAATTTATCATGAAATTTTATTTTCATATATATTATAATTAATTTAATCTAATAAAAATATATTCTCTTAAAAAGATAAATGAGATATAAGAACTCTTTATAAACAATTCAATAGCTATATGAGAGAGGCAATTTATAGTGGCCTAAAAATAATGCTTACAATTTATTGTTATTAGATCTATAAAATTCTATGCGAAGTAGAATTTAAATATTAAATTTAGAAACATTTAATATTTGAGATAAATTTAAAGTATGATAATGAGAATGGTAGATTAATTATATGGTAAATAATAAGGTATTAAAAGTTGACAAAAAGACAAACCTTAAACCGCTGTTGGTTGAGAGCTTAGGCTTTCAATTAAAAGGACTTGGATTATAGTCTTTGTGTTATGTTGTTTGTGTGTTGTGAGTTTTGCCTTTAAATGGCCTAAATGGTCCAAAAAAAAGTTGACTAAAAGGGTGGTGACTATAAAGTAAATTGTCAAGGCATCCGATTCAAGGTAAGTACTCTGGTTCGTATTTTTACAACAATAACATTATTTT